TTGAATACGTACTGGTTACCGCCACTTATAAACTCCCGGAGGAGCTTTTCTTGCTCTGGGCCTAACTTAAGTGCACAATCCTGTTGATCCAACTCGGATAGGTTAGGTCCATATCCATTAAAAGATAACGTAGAATCTTAGCCAGCCGACTTCCTACTTGAATGAGGTTTACCGTCCATGCCTGCTTGGGTTAGTTTGGGGATTGCTTGATTGAGTTCTTGAAGTAGAGGGCTCTGGATCTGTGGGCTCCTGTTCACTTTCACTTTTGACTTCCATTTCTTTAAACCTATTATCAAGTTGGGCTAGCGCTTCTTCAACCATGCCTGCTTGGGTTAGTTTGGGGATTGCTTGATTGAGTTCTTGAAGTAGAGGGCTCTGGATCTGTGGGCTCCTGTTCACTTTCACTTTTGACTTTCATTTCTTTAGACCTATCATCAAGCCAAACTAGCGCTTCTTTAATTATCCTAAATATGATGTTGGGGCTTTTGAGTTTATCATTTATCAATATTCGATCTGTCACTGAATTCACAACTTGAGTTATATTGCCCCGGTCTAACGTATCAATCTTAGGTAGTATTTTCGTTAGTTCTTCTATTATGATCACTTTGATTCGGCTTTTTAATACAATGTAATTGTAATGGGCACCTATTGCGATTAGACCATTTTCAAGTATGCTTTCTTTTGAATCGAGGGATTGATTTTGTGGGTTCATTGCGTCGCTCTTAATTTGTTTTAGTTGTTGTGCTATATTTGTTAGCTTACCTAGGCTCTCTATTCGCGATTCCTCTGACATCTGGGTATTCTTGAATTCAGATGACCATTGTTCCATTTGTTGGCCAACTATATTAACACTTTCCTGTATTACTTCTTCTCTGACTAGTATAGATAGTAACTCAATCTTCTCCTGTCTGAGTCTCTCTATTGATTTGTCAGAGAAGCTGCAATCGCTTTGGGTTGAGTTCATGTTCTCAGAAGCCTCATGCTTTTCTTCCTTGAGGTTCTGTTGGTACTTCTTTATTGCATTTATTCGTGTTGATTGTTCATTCCTTAAGGATTTCATATCGTTTATTGCCTTGGCTATTTCAATAAAATGCAATGCTATTTGATTATCTCTATATAACATGAGCCTTTTAAATCTAGCAGACAAATCTATCTCATCTGAATCCTCATCAGAACTACACCAGACACAACACAATCCAATAACCAAGCAAACTACTTGATAAACATTCAAAGAGTATTCATTTAACCTTTTGTTCATTTTACAATTTGCTATCTCATGTTTTTATTTATAGACTATACTATATCAATATCAAAAATATTCTAGTCTTAGCCAAGCAAATTCTCTAAATTAGTAGAATATCAAAAAGACTTACTTTCTAAGTATGTCTATTCAATACCAACTCAATACCAAACCAATACGACCACTACTAACCCAACCCAATACTAACCCAATGTTTTACCAGCTAATTACGCCTTGCAACTTTAATAGAGTCAATCTGCTTTGACTAATTTAGTTTTACATATCTACCCTACAATTCAATATGACGTCATCCTCACACAACCACATTTATTTAACAAATCACAACGATACTCGTCTCAAGGAAGGTCTTTAATAGAGTAGGCATTGGCCAATGAACCCTATCCAACCCAACCCAACCCAACACTAACACCATCTAATCTATAAAAGCTTATCTAAAACTCTCGAGTAAGTATAGTTGAATAAAAGATAGCACCATCCGTTTCTAAATCTATCCTTAGGAATGAAAGGTTGTATTCCTGGTCCTAGAGACAAAAAGGAGGCTCATTTGGTTGGTACTTTGGCTCAATAAAGATAATTTCCAAGTCTCACATGCTGAAAGCTTTTGTATTTCAAACTGGGCGAGTTTCATACTCGACGTGCCACAATAAATTCCTAGATAGTTGGCTGGTGTGACACTATCCTAATTAGACTAGTTTTAACAAATCTGCTTTATTCCATCGTTCGTTTCCTTTGTTTCTGGACTTGACAATCAGATTTGTCTTTGGTGGAGGTGACATAGAAGTTGGTCGAGCAAGTTATACTCTTTCAATCGCCTTCTAGTAATGCAAGAAAGGCCTGGGTTTGGTCGATATGGTTAACATAAACATGTTTTATGTGGTCTTCGATATTAGTAGTTCTAATAGCCCTGATTGCCTTGATAATTGTCTGAAAAATCAAGATTAGACGTGGTGGTTCATATTTACCCGGAATCAAACTCACATCCACCGAAAAACTCTCTTTGCCTAAATTGTCCGTATTTATCATAACTTTGATTTCAATATTCGACTTATTTATCATACACCCTACTCTAAGACTTTGAAGGCCCATTGTTGCTGAGATAGGTCTGCTAGAGGTCTGGTAGCCAAAGTCCCTCCTTAGTGCTTCGGCCCAATTTATTGCCCAGATTTCTAAATCTTTAACATGGAACCCTTCGGGAATATCAAGTTGACCTATGTGGCTGTTTGGTACGTGCAACGACAGCTTATCCAGAGGCTGTGCCACGTCTTTCGCAAGAGTCCTTCTTTTTCTTGTATGAATAGATGCCGGGGCGTTTTCAAATGAGAGTATACTGATGTATACACGCTTAATACCACTAGCCGGATGTACAAAACAAACGAGTCCACAATCTATCATAATGTCTGTCGATCTATCCGTTGTTAGATAACAATGAAGCTCCGAAAAGCAACCAAAAACTCCGCATGTTATCTTGTTAAGAAGGAAGTCGTCGGCAATCCAGCGGTCTTCTATATCAGTATCTGGCAACCTACCCAGTGGCGGATTAATCAGAAGTATAAATGTGTCGTTAGATTGGGTTTTGACATCATTAAATACTATAGTATTATACGCTTCTGACTGTTTGGTTTGATTGCCAAGTGCGGTCGGATTAGTATGTTTATCGGTATAATCTCGCCATTCGATAAGAATATTTATGAGCGCATTGCCCGTTAGGTTGATTTTGTTGATCTGGGCCTTGATATTCTTCTCAAGTCGAACGCCCTGATGTAAATCCAAGTATTTCGTTAGAATAATCACCTTAATAATCCAAGAAGCCGGCGCCCCGTCTTTTCTTATATCAATATTATCATCAAGCTTGGCTTTCTTCGCCTCTAGAGAATAAAACTCCATTCCGTTGGAAGGGTTAGATCTATAACTATCTTCTTCTATATCCATCTCATATCCACGTTTTGCTCCACATTCAACCACACTAAATAGTCCTAACCCCACAAACACCAACGATAACAGCTGTTTAACCCAATACATCCTTATCATTTGCTAATTTTATACTCTTTAAATCTTAAAAGCTTATCTTGTTTTGATCTGGTTAAAGCATTAGTTATGTGTGTACTAAGCCAATTTATTGCCACAGCTATATTATTATTCCACTATCTAATTCGCTTCAATTGACTTATACCAATTTAACCTAACATAACCTAACCCAAGACAACACTAACTTAACTTATACCAATTTAACCCTAATATCATATAAACTTAATGTTAACTTAAAGCCAACTAAATTATAAACTAAACCCATTTCAATTTCGATTTTACTTTACTTTAGATTATAATATTATTCTGATATATTTAGTCTAAACTCTAGATCTTGTGTTTATAATGACTACAGATCTAACAAATACATTAGGCCTATTTTAGATAGCGTACTGTTTATTTATCAACAGAAACAAGTTATAGCCGTAAATGACAAATATCAAATTGATACACAGAGAAGATATGTACCTTAGCTTATTTCGTAACAGCAGGGAAGCATAGGATAGACGGCAATCATAATAGATAGGAAATTGAAAGTGAATAAGGGCAAGAGAAGTAATGAAAGGACAATACGAGAAGCCAATATTGGGAACTTTACTAAGAAGGCAGTTGGGAGATAGTGTGAAATCCGAGTCACATGGCAACTAACTGTGGAATCAAAGAAGCCATACTGTAGTGCCCAATAAGGAAAGTCCATCTTAACTAATACTTAACTAATACATACTCTATTAAAGATATTCCCTGGGATAAGTATGGGTGCCATTTATTGAGTAAATAAGGGTTGGGTTGGAATAAGATGGCGTCATATTAAGTTAGCATTAGTATTAGTAATACTAAGTAATGTGTACTAAGTAGTGAGTAGCTTATCAGTAGTCAGGTTGGAATTGTGGTGGGTTTGTGGTGGCATTGTAGTGGTGGCTGTATGATGGCACTTCACATGATATATGAATAAAGATGGAGAATGTCCGGATCTGGCTATGTTTTTGGTAGAAGTGGTAGTAGCCAAAGAATCATTATCTTGCTCATAAGATGATCCCAATACAATATATTGGGTGAGAACTTGCCTTTTTTGATAATTAGGTGTCATTTGGTATCTTCTTTTTTATTTTCAGATACATGTCTCTATCTCTAAAGATAACTAAACCTATTATTGGCCAGATCATGAACAAACCAAGATCTAGATTAGTCCGGTTTTTTGTCCCTAACAGTCTTATACGCAGAAGGTCTATAGCGATCTTTGCTCCTACAGCACATAATAATAGCATCGCCATGACCAAAGACTTAAAAGTAGTTGGGCACTGGCTTACTATTGGGATCTATGTCCTATTGGTCTTGTTAACTAGTGTATGTGCCTCGAATGCGGTAGTTAAGTCAATTGACAAGGCGGGGTTAGCGCCGCAGAGTATAAAAGATATAAGTCGAATTATGCGCCGCATTGGATTCACGATTGATAACAAAAGCGATGTTATATCGGTTAATCATTATAATTCAAGCCATGCAGCACAGGAATTTCCTGATACCAACTTAATGGAACACAGACCCAGCTACATAGTAAACTATTCAGACATAGAGCTTTACTTTCGGCTACCAAAGTACTCCGATGTAGAACAAGAACAAGCACAAGCAGATTTAAATCAGCTAAGAAAGATCGCTCTTATTAACGCGACCTGTGTTTATATCTATAGCAAAACCCTAAGCCGGGCTTGCTATCAGACGAGTCTGCAGATTTTATCCAGAGTTGTTAACATGATTGACTGCGCGGTTCTGGAAATTAGATTAACGCCCAATATGTGCAAGAATCTAGATGCCAGCCAAATCAATTGGGATATTATTCAGCAAGAAGCACTGAATACGGTCAACCACACTCCTTACCTATTAAGCACAAGCATCAGGTTTTGGAGCCGTGGAATGAGTAAACTGTCGCGTTTGATCGATAGCGGCATTGTATTGTTACGGCCAATTTCAAACATTCTTCTGACCGGAAACGAAATATCAAACACGCCCCTTCTCATTTATTTACCACTAGCAGATAGATACACTCTTACATTCGGGACTATATATAAACCGTTTGACATTAACATTAGCAGTCTGCAAGATTCCCCATCTGAATGTCAATCCATCACCATTATAGGATCTTTGATACACAGAATTAAATTGATCGGCCTGGAGAATGCCCATGTTAAACATCCGACCCTAGCTCTACGAGCAAACTGGGAAGTCCTTCTCCATTTGGGCAAGAATAATGGCCATCTTATTCAAGTAAATACACTTTTGGGTATGGACATCATACCGCAGACACTCCAGGCATTCTCTCAGAATCTTGTGATGCTGCCAAATTCTGTTCCCTGCATATCTGCTATTCTGATATCATCCAAAATCAGTACTATTATGCCGTGTGGTCCATTAAAGCAATACAGCGTGCTATACACTCAGAATGCCTATGTCCAGTTAGGCTTCGTAGTTAAAGAGATCCAAATAGAGTATGAAAACAATCGATCCGATCTATTGGAGACTATGGTATTTTTCCATGAGATCACGGCGTTATCAACCACATTCGCGGAAGTTGTAGTGCAATGCATTAGATGTTGTGGCGAGGCACTCAGTGTCCCCGGCTGGACAGTTCAGGAGACTGTCAACATCAAGCTCAACCATGAATTCATAGAAGCACAAATCAAAAGATATACGGACATCTACCCATATTTCTGTCAAAATATACGCTACACAGCCATCACCATATATTCAGATAACCAACCCAACGAATCTAGCGTTCAAATGTGCATTCGCATACTAGGCCTGTTTTGGAACATTACTGCCGATGAGCTTAAGATTGTGAATGTCCGTAGTTCAAGCAACACCAGCTGCAACTTTAAGATGGATCTTCTCGACAAAGACATGTGCTATCCGACCTGGGCACACCTCAACATTAAAAAGATAGTGCTGGACAATATCGATATGCGCATTATCTATAGATTACTAAGCCTTTACGAGTTTGCCGTCAATGTCGAACTGTTTATTCTGAACCAACACTTCACTAACCTGGCTATTGCTCAGATTTTGTCCCAACCCACCATCCACAATATCAACAGACTCACAATCAATGACTTCTACGAAATAGACGAAGTCGTAAAGTACCACCACCAAGATGACATAGAGGACTTCTCGCTGTTTAAATACGTGAATACAGCCAAACAAGAAGGCAAAACAATCAAAGAGATCGGTTTACACAAAATGGCCTTACAACTAACTGACGTCAACTTTGACTTGTATAGAGAGACATTATACAAACTGTTAAGCTGTGGCATTCAGATTATAGACATGCCACTCAATTGGTACCTTGAGTGCAGCACAACCTTCCACAGCCAAGCAATCTTACTGGATAAACAGGAGTTTACTATACGCAATGTTGTCCTATCCGCCTTAGAAATCGACCTTATCACCAGCCAAACCCAAACTTCATTACCACACGATTCAAGCCATCTAGTTCAGAAGCAATCGGTCGAAAGACTCTTTTTACACTTCGACCACGGCCAAACTCTAACCGAAGCAAACCTAGCAACTATTATTAGATGGATAGGCTATCGGTTTAAGGGCACAACCACCTTACATATATCCAATATCAATCTATCCAAAAGCACGCAAAATCTGATACTCACCCGAAACTATTTAATTATCTACCCAGATACACTTACCACCATTCAAATAGAAAGTAAAGATCCAAGCACATCGCCTATCAGCATGCAAGTTCATCCATACTATGCCAGTTTACTAGCCAACATCACAAACCCCAATCCGACATTCACAGCCGTATCCTCTACAACTCTAATCCAGCTCCTACCCCAGGCAGGCAAATTCCTCAACAACTGTCCCGACTCGATTGGGTTCAGCCTCACATTCAAAAGCATTCTAACGCACCTCATGAGCGAAAACAACCAAATCCCCGGCATTGAATGTACAATTTGTACCCGAGTCTTCTATATACCCCATGGCAGCCAAGACACAGGTGCAAATGTATGTATTGGGTTGAGTAAGGATAGTGGAGAGTTGAGTAAGGATAGTGAAGGGGTGGATGAGGATAGTGAGAATAGTGGTCCAAAAGCCAAACGACCCCGCCTTATGTTCGATCCTGACAACGAATTCCTTGCACTGTGTTACTTAAAATGCGGGCACGTACTATGTAACACTTGCGCGACTCAAATCCAACAAGACAATCGGTGTCCCAACTGCCGCCACCCCCAAATTTGCCAAGACATACACCAACTCATAAGCATACCTCAAGCCAACTTTATTTCAGTCACAGACAGCACCAATCTTCACCCATTCAACCCCACTCAACCCAATCCCAACTCAACCACCCCCACCCAAATATACCTCTACTTAGCCCACCAGCACACATCCCACCTCAAATCCTTCCTCAACAAAACAGCCACCACCTCCTCCCCTTACTACATCCACATCATATAATCCAATACATAGCTTAGTACATCACATAACTTAGTACATCACATAACTCAATACCAAACTCAACTCAACTCAATACCAATCTAACTCAATACAATACCCAATACAATACTACCACAACTTATTACAACCCAACTCAATCTAATACTAAACCCACTACAACTTAACTCAACACAACCCACTACAACACCAACCCAACCAATCTAACTCAACTCAACTCAACTCAACTCAACCCCAACCAACCCAACTCAATCTAATACAACTTAATCTAAGAGTCTACTCTATTTATTTCAATCTTATTTTGTCAACACTATGCAAATCCTCGAGAAGTATCATACTAGTCGGGCCGATGAACTTAAAATCGTCATTGAAAAGAAGCTCCAAAACATCACCCGTCTTGAACAAATCAAAGATACACTTAATCATCGTGTCCGACAACTCAAAGAAGAAATAGCTATCATCCAAGAACCTTCCTGTACAGTCGGAGAAGTCTCTAAGAAGATGGGTAAGAATACTGTCCTCATTAAAACCACCGCCGAAGGTAAACATCTAGTCCAAGTCGAACCACAAATTGATTATGACCAACTTAAACCAGGCATGCGAGTTGCCCTCCGTAGTGATACTTACGCCCTTTACCGCACTCTACCTTCTAAAGTCGATCCACTCGTTTCACTTATGATGGTAGAAAAGACTCCCGATTCAACTTACGATATGATTGGAGGTCTTTCTGAGCAGATTAAAGAGGTTAAAGAAGTCATTGAACTTCCCATTAAACATCCAGAACTCTTTGAGTCCCTAGGTATTGCCCAGCCGAAAGGCGTACTTCTCTACGGACCACCAGGAACAGGTAAAACTTTACTAGCTCGGGCGGTAGCTCATCATACTCAATGCCGATTTATTCGTGTTTCCGGTTCAGAACTCGTCCAGAAGTACATTGGAGAAGGATCTAGACTCGTTCGAGAACTTTTCGTAATGGCTCGTGAACATGCTCCTTCCATTATCTTTATGGATGAAATAGACTCAATCGGGTCAGTTCGGGGCGAAGGATCAAAAGGAGATAGTGAAGTACAAAGGACTATGTTAGAACTACTTAATCAACTAGATGGTTTTGAAGCCACTCAAAATATCAAAGTCATTATGGCTACTAATCGGATAGATATCTTAGATTCAGCCCTTTTAAGACCCGGAAGAATAGATCGTAAGATTGAATTTCCAGCTCCTAAAGAAGAAGCCCGACTAGAAATACTTAAGATTCATTCCCGTAAGATGAATCTCACTAAAAACATAGATCTAGCTAAGATCTCTACTAAATTACCCGGGGCTAGTGGAGCAGAAGTCAAGTCAGTCTGTACGGAAGCAGGTATGTTTGCCCTTCGAGAAAGAAGAACTCATGTTACTAAAGATGACTTTGAAATGGCCGTAGCTAAAGTAATGAAGAAAACTAACGATCCAAATTCCGACCTGCGTAAACTCCTTAAATAAAATTTTATTTGTCCCCTGCATGATTCGCAACATCCGTATTAACGTTCAACAAGGAGACAAATACCCGGCTGAAGATGTTCCTACTAAAGTCTTAACCTGGCTAGCCCGTAATAAAAGACATGTAGACCCGGTCAGAAAAGACTTAATTGAGGGTCAAGTAGTAGTTATACTGGAAGGTCAGTACATTGCCCGACGAGCAGTTCTAGTTAAGCGATTACCCCGCAATCTTATCTTAGTAGCTGGTGTACCTGAACTGAATGGTGTACCTTTGACTGTTCTTAATCAGAGGTACGTTCTACCAGTTTCAGTCTTTATGCCGTTAAGTGCTGAGTTAAGGAAGGGAGTTACAGTGCAGAAGGAAGGTTTTATGGCTTTAAAGGACTGGACAGTTGAGAATGCTTATGACTTAGAGGTTTTAGACTTGATTAAGACGGAAGGAGTTTTAGCCGGAGTAGCTGCTGTAGTAGCTGAGGAGTGTGCTAAGACCAAGGGGTTAAAGACTTACTTCAAGACGCCTTTTAAGTTGCCACAAGGAGTAGATCCTCTCAGTGTCTTCTACTAAGCAATAAATTCAGTTAGTTTGAGTTGGGTTAAGTTGAGTGGGGTTTGGTGTTGGGGTTAGTTTAGATATGAGTCAGTTAGATATGAGTCAGTTTAGATATGGTTTATTTGTTTTGATTTTGATTTTGATTTAGATATAATAAGTTAGTGGTTAGTATTGATAGTATGTAGTATATAGTATGTAGATATTCAATAGTATTGGTTGTAGTATGTAGATATTCAGTATTATTAGTGGTAGTATGTAGTATGTAGATAGACACCACCTAATCAGTGCTTAGCCGTTACATGTTTAGATGGAATACTAATGCTATACTATACTAAGATAACATAACACAATACCAAGATAGCAAAACACAATACAAACAAAACACAATACTAACACAATACAACACAATACTAACACAATAATAAGATAAGATAAGGCAGTTAATCATCAAGGGTGGTGAAGTCGAGGTCTTGGAAGAGGGCGGGGGCGGGTGGAGTTGCGGTGGCCGGGGATGGGACTTGGACTTCTGAAAGTTTGTGCTGGAGGTAGGTAAAGGCGGCGGCAGTGAGAAAACCACGGGTGGGATGGAAGTGAGTAGTGAGATAGTTAGGAGTAGTACGAAGAACTTGTTCAATGGCAGGATTATCCCGGAGAACGAAAGCTTTAGAGACGTTCTTCCAGACATAAGTTTGGTAGCGATAAGCTTTAGGATCATGGACTGGATTGTACCCATACTTAATCCAGAGCTTCTTCCAGGGTCCGGTGGTATGGGTATAGGCTAGGACGGGTAAAATGTTCTTGATAGTCGTCCATTTAGTATCAGCTAGTAATTGGGGGTAGTCGGTTTGGCAGGTAGCTTCAATTTGCTTGATTGACCAGATGGGATGCTGTTGGAAGAGTTGTTGCATAGCTGTTTTGATGGGAGTATAAGCCGGGCCAAGTAAAGTTTGAATGCACTTACAAAGGGATTCAGTTGGTTGGATAGGTGGATCATCTTCTACTCGGACTTTTTGGGCTAGTCTGATCTTCTTCTTAGCAGTTTTGAACTCCTTGAAGTTGTACTGCTTAAAGATACCACTGAGTGAGACTACCGGTGGGGGAAAGAAAGGGATTTCACGACTGGATTTACTCCAGCGATTGAACTCAGTAGCTAATGGGTACTCAACTGGCTGGGATAAACCAGCAGATAATTGGGTGTAGAAAGGATCGGAAGAAGCCCAGGAAGGAAGAAGGAAGTCGGCTAAAGTCGGTTCTAGAACTTGAGTTACACGTTGAGTGATTTGCATTTGATCGTTAGTTTGTTCGGCAATGTACAGATTAGTACTTGGTTGTTTACTTTCCAGAGGGACTTCTTTAGGATTTTTAGATTGATTAAGAATTATGGCCCGATCTGTATAGTTAGCTTTTGATTTGGAAAAAGGAGTAGTAATTAGAGTAGTATCAATTAAACGGTTGTTTGTATTATTAAGCCAGAGTTTCATAAGCAAATTCACATTGTAAATATTTATGCTGAAAATCACTGGGAGACTTAGTTTGCCTAATAGTGCTAATTTGGGGGTGTATAAAAGGAATGCATACTCCTTGTTTTCCTTCGCTTCAACATTGACGGTTATTTCTGTGCTTTTAGGACTTAAATGGGTCTTTTGTATCTACTCTCTCTACTATGTCTTTATGTGTAAAAAGATAAGCCTGCATTACCAAAGAACAGCCGAAAACCAAAACATTGTGGCTAAACTGAAAGGTTTAGAGAAAGTCTTCTATCCACATATTTTATGGATGTTTCCTCAGATTCAAACTATTGCTTATGTTGTCCGTAATATTCCTAAGAATGCTTATCGTGAAGTTGAGATAGAGCAGGATGATGGTGGGTCGTTTTTTGTGCATATTTATGAACCGGTAGAAAGTCCGAAACATATGGTTGTTTTAGTCCATGGTCTGGGAGGATCGGCTCATTCTAAGCACGTAACGATCATTTGTAACCACTTTTTAAGAGAGGGACATCGTGTACTGATTATGAGTGCTCGAGGGACCTTGCATAAGTTGAAGACTCCGGTCTTCTTTCATATTGGCTGGACGAAGGACTTAGTGCGGACGATGAAGTATGCCCTGGAGACTTACTCAGGAACACTTTCTGGAGTGGGGTACAGTTTGGGCGGACACTGGATGGCTAAAGTCTTTGGGGAAATATCAGATCATTTTAGTACGGATGAATGTGCTCGGATTAAGGGAGCTATGGCTATTTCTATTCCTTTTGATTTTGTTAAGATCGCAGAGTATATGAAACGGCCAATTCCTAAGCGTATGTACAATCGAGTCTTTGCCACTAAGATTCATAAGTTTGTGGCGCGGAATCGAGAAGTGTATGAGGCAGCTGGGTTTCCTATTGACCAAATTATGGCAGCCCGTACTATGCACGAACTGGACCAGTTACTTACTTTACGTGTCTTTATGATCAACGATATCAGCGAGCATTATTATCAACAGTCGTGTGTACGAGTGATCAGTAAGATAAACAAACCGTTCTTGATTCTGAATTCTAAAGACGATCCCATTGTGCCGCTCAGTACTATTCCCATTAAAGAGTGCCTCAAGAGTACCCATGTAATCTTGGCTTTAACTGAGCGGGGAGGACATATGGGCTTCTTGGGGTACTGTAATTACATGACCTATGCCGAAGAAGCCGCCATCGAGTTCACGCGTGCAATTATTGATTTGGAGTAGTCCCATCTAACTTACGAATTCCAAACCAAATCAACGCCATAGATCTAACTAGATAGCAAGCAAATACTAACCCAATACTAAACCAAACCAATCTGCCTTAATTCTGAATAAATACTAAGTGGTACAGAGTTGTCTAATTATGGGGGGGTTTAGCTTAATGTTAATTTAGAAGGAAGTTAGTAGATAGATAGATAGATAGAGTGGGTGTTGATTGATTGGAATAAGATAATTGTGATTATGATAGATAATTGTGATTATGATAGATAAAAAACAGATAGTTATACTCTAGTGGGTTTATTAGACGGACGGGCAGTAGCAATTATATAGCATAGCCTAGACCGGATTGGTTAGTGCCTATTTCAACGGGCTTGCCAATAGCAATGCACGAGGAAGGATTCATGAGAGGATCCTCTTCTGAGAAGATAGAGGCCGTCTTAATAAAGGTGTAGGCGGTTTCATAGGAAATCTTCTGGAAGAGTGAGCCTTTGCTTTGGAAGGCAACTCGGTTAAAGGAAACAATAGTACCGGAGTAAGTCATATAGTCAGCAATAACTGATAAGTGCCGTTTGTCTATTGTAATACCATAAACCGAGAAGACAGCTTCAATTTCACGAATAATAGCTACACGGGCCGCTTCCACCCCAAGAGTTTCAAGTACTTCCCAAATACTGTTAGAACGAGCCGTACGTATATCAATAACTTCAGCAATCTCAGGACGAGCAGCTGCTTCTAAAAGAGAGCGTAAAGAACAACCTTCAAAGATAAATTGTGAGTTACTGTAAGTACATGACTCATAGAACGTTCGGCTTTGAATAAACATCTTCTTAAGAATAGCTTCAATGCGGGGGAGATATAAAGTTTGGTAGATAATTGGGGCCGTAAGAATCATATCAATAAACTTACCATCCTCTGATTGAGCAATCAAGGGACCGTCAGTAGGATCTTGGTGCCGAATATTCTGGCCAATATCATTGTACTGTAAAGAAGGAGTTGGAGACTCGTCGGCTAACAAGTCTTCTTCGATCTTGTCTTGACTTTCTTCTTCTGGGGCCTGAGTAGGTGTAGCACTGGCTTCACTCTCACTAATATCTGAACTACTACTTTGAGAAGAGGATTCTTCGCCATCACTTTCACTTTCACTATCAGTACCACCACTAGTAGCAGCTGATTTAGTCTCTGTTGAAGGTGTAGTGGTTGGAGTAGTGGGGGTATTGATCTCTTCAATGGCCTGGTCCGCTAGAGTTTTAGCGACTGCCTTCATCTCCCGAGCAAAGCGTTGGAAGAATCCATCGGCTAAACCGCCTAGTACGGACTGTTCATACCCTGGTCTAGGCTCAATTCTGACCTTAACTATTCGTTGTGGCATATCACCCAGTTCATCTTCAGTCACCACTCGAATGGACTCAATCACATCGACTATTCGTTTGCGACCTCCGCGTTGTAATTCCTTGATTACTTCGGGATCCAGAGTACTAAGTGGACTAGCTGTAATAATAGGAGTTTTGATCACTCGGGAGGCAGTCATTACAATTTCACTTAGTCGGGGCATACCTAAGGTAACGTTCTTCCCTCCTACTCCGGCTAGATGGAAAGTATTCAAGGTCATTTGCGTGGAAGGTTCTCCTACACTCTGGGCAGCTAAAATACCAACGGGTTCACCCGGTTCAGCCCCTCGTACTACGTACTTAAGCCAAGTATCCATAGAAGGTCGTTCTTGAGTAGAACTGAGATAGCGCGGGGGTAGTAGACTGGGTTTAGTGCGGAGATTGTACAAATCAAGTCCATCTGATTTCTGAGAATTAGATACGTTCTCATTCTCAAATAATTGGATGGCATCACTAACTACACCAGGCTTACTACTTGCGGCTGGTAAAGAAGAGAAATCACCATTAACTACTTTATCCAGGTAGGCAGTTCGTTCGGGATGTGTGCCGTCATCACCATAGACCATTTGCAGAACCGATCCATCCGAATCACATACTGAACCATCTACAGCTACTACTACTCCCTCTAAATGTTTAATCAAGCACCGTTGCAAGTATCCTGATCGACTAGTCTTCACAGCCGTATCAATTAAACCTTCACGACCGGCCATACAATGGAAGTAGAACTCTTCCGGATGCACACCAGTTAAGAACCGCTGACTAATAAATCCAGCTGAGCGCATAGCCGTTTCATTGGGCATAAACGTAGGCAAAGTCCGACCTGTGCACATAATAGGCACCCGCATACCTTCTAGTTCCTGTTGGCCCAGCATAGAGATGATTTGACCTAAGTTAACTAAACTTCCTTTAGCCCCAGAAGCAACCATCAAGTACATCCGGTTGCGCAAACTACTACGCACCAGTCCTGAACTGACTGCTTCTAAGGCAACTGAGGCCGTTCCACTGGCAACTTCACCTACGGCCGAATCAAGTAGACGTTTAACATCGGGTACTTCTCCCTGTGTAACGGCCATGTACGTATCTAGAACATAATTAGGCCGAGTTTGGTAGAAGGCTTCAGCTTCAGCTGCTCCTTTAACTCCACCACAGAGAACGGCTTCTTCTCGCTCTTTCTCAGCCGTTTCAGCTACCATTAAGTCATCCATAGTACAGGAGAAGCCCATACTAATCAGAGCTCGATTAAACAACTGGCCTAAGGCCGTAAGAAGACGGTTAGCCATTTGCCCACCATAAGTTTCAGCTACACTATGCACTAGACCATAAGCCGTTGTGCCAATTTGTGATTTATCCAGGGATCCAGTTAAGAGTTCTCCTTCCTTAAACCGTACTTCATCGCCTAAACGCGATTGGCCCGTAAAGGTCGGTCTAGTTCCTAAATTCTGCACTACCGTAGAAATAGCTTGGGCACCCGTGAAAAGAGGTCTAGGCCGCAGAATAGTCGGAGTCGGCAGAGAAAGACCAGCACTCTGTTTACTACTGAGAGCCGCCACTACTAACTGCCCAAACTCTTCCGGATCAATAAATACACCCGATTGTGAGACTAAACTACCCATAACCACATGATCCTGCACATGACCACGCACTGGATTCCCATTAGTAGCAGAGGCATAACACTGATTAGTCGAACAAATTTCCGCCGCCTCAACTTGGGCCACTATATCCTGAGGAAAATGGACGTTCATTTCATCACCATCAAAATCAGCATTATAAGAATTACAGTTAACATAATGCAATCTTAAAGTCTTTGAACTAGGCAAGACTTTAACTCGATGACCCATCATACTAACCTTATGCAAAGAAGGCTGTCGGTTAACCAGGACATAATCACCCGTACGCATGTGTCGCCAAACCCGTTTAGTAGGTGCTTCTGGCTCTACTGTTAAGGACTCGTCCATTAAACTAGCTACAGCATGGGAAGAAGGACCTACATGAGCCAGAATTTGCCGGGCTAAATGAGAGCGTTGGGCTTCACTTAAGTATCTTAAACTAGTTAAACGACCGGATGCATCTTCAACATATTCAGCTCCAGGATAAACAGGGCCATTCTCAATAGCAGCTTTTAAAGCCTGAGCGTTCAAAGCCGAAACTGGTTCTGGGAAAGTCAATTTCTGGGCAAAGACTTCCGGCACTCCAATCTCATCTACACCTAAGGCCGGATCTGGTGAAATAACCGATCTAGCCGTATAGTTAACTCGTTTCCCCATAATATGTTTCCGGAACAATCCTTCTTTCTTCTCAATCACTTCTTTAACTGACTGATGTCCTTTTACCGGTTCATTGTACAACATTCCTACAGCATCTTGTAAGGCCAAGTAACTACTAGTTATCTGACTAGTCTCAGTAGTATATTCAGCACAAAAGATCTGCTGACATAAACCAACAATCTTCTGGTACAAAACAGTTCGTTTAGCATGTGTTTTTGTTCCAGACATAGTTATATCTATCGGCCGAAACCCAATTGGAGTCACTGCTAGAATTTCCAAGAAGAAAACCGGCAAGAGAAAGTTCTCATTAGGTTTCTTCTCATAAGCCAATGGAAACAATCTTTGTAACAACTCCATCTCATTCTTAGACAATTCCTGAACTAATCCCACCGCCTCAACCGGCAACAATAAACTATTCTTCTTACCACTCAGTTTACCTTCTACTACATTACTACTAACATCACCATTACCTTCTACTACATCACCACCCCCACTACCACCACTACTACTAACACTACCCCCTTTAACTGCACTGTACCCTTCAACTAGAATCCTTAAAGGTCCTAATGTAACTGTTTTAGACCTTGATCCACACCACATACAGTGCCGGAGTTGCTGACTAAGTATTTCACGTAAGACTTTCTTACGTAGACCGGCTGCTCTACTCCGACCTAACTCTGTTTCTTTCCGGCACTGCATTTTACTCCCTTCTTCTCCATCCACTTGCTTAATCCACTCCTCCTGCAATAATGTACTTACTTCCTGTAACTTCTCCTCATCTTCCGATTTAATAGCTAACTTAATCTCCTCTACTAAATCTTCCCTACTCCTCTCTACAGCAGCAATTTGCAAGCTATACCCCCGACTAGCCAATCGACCCATCTTAAACCGTTTACACCCCCAGCACATACGTCCCAGTAACCTACACAACATATCATAATGCATTGGATTGTACAAAGGCAAAGGCAAGTCAATATGTCCCAAATGGCCAGGACAACCTCGTAATCCCAACCCACAAGTCCGACAATTAGCTTCTTTAGTCGCACCTAGACGTAAATCATAAACTGAATTCTCTATCGGATGTCCTAACTCATCAAAATCACCCCCATCCCTTATCGGAACAACACTTTCTTTTCTTATCTCTTCTGGACATAAAGCACTAATTAGTACTTTCGTTGGTTCAAAGAGCATGGGCAAGATCTAAGCATAAAACTAAAAGAATTTGTTTGATTATGTCACAAACAATCGATATAAGTGGAAGGTTTACCGAAACGGGTAATTTATTACAGATTGAATATGCTCGTAAAGCGGCTAGTAAAGGGAATACTGTAATTGGGGTGCAATTTAGCGAGGGAGTACTTTTAGCCGTAGATAAGCATTCTTCTTCTAAAATAGTTGATATTCAGAGTTTAAAGACTATTACGGCCTTATCTCGGCAGTATGCTATGGCTTATTCTGGGCTTCCTCATGATAATAATGTGATTACTTACTTGATGAAAGACTTTACTAAGCAAGTACTCTTACAGTCGGAAAAAGAACCGGCTGAGGAGTTCTTTTTGGGAACACTTAGGGAGTATTTGGTCTATTTTGGGTCTTATATGTCATTGCGTCCGGTGGGTTGTGAGTTTTTGATCTCTTCTTTAGGCCGGGGTAAGGCTAGTTTATTCCATGCTGATCCATCAGGGAGTATAAGTAAGTGTCGGGCTTATGCGGTGGGGTGCAATGCACAGGCGGCTAAGACGGAATTGGAGAAGGTTGATTGTACGGGGTATACTTTGGAGGAGGCTATTCAGTGGGTTGTACGGGTGATGCACTTATCAAGGGATGGAATGGCTGATGGAACCTTTGAGATTGAAATGATGGCTGTTCAGGCTAATGGAGTGCAAAAACGAGTTGACCGCCAGGTAATAGAAAGGTATGTTGCCGAGGCGGCGGAAATCTCAGTACAATAAAAGGTATACGAGTGTATAATTGGGTTAAGTTATGTTATGTGTTAGGTGTTGTTTCTCTTTAGTGTTACTAATTGTAGTGTCTAATCCTAAGTCCATCTTAACTCAATCTTAACTAATACGTATTCTATTAAAGACATTCCTTGAAATATGGGTGGATACCATTTATTGAGTAAATAAGGGTGTATGTGAGTATGACGTCATATTGGGTTGGTATTAGTATGAGTATTAGTTTAGTACTACTAAGTAGTGAGTAGTAAGTAGTGAGTAGTAATCAGGTTGGTATTGTGGTGGTATTATGTTAGTAATTGGGTAGTGGTTGTATGACAGCACCACACCAATGCATTATACAGTAGTAACTCTACTAAACTCAACCCAAACTCAACTCAACTCAACTCAAACCAAACTCAACTCAACCCAAACTTAACTTAACCCAAGTTTAATGGGCGGTAGTAGTGTGGTAGTAGGAGGTTATGGATAATTATGGTGAGAGGGACTAGTTTGATCTTTGGCACTAAATACGAAGTTGACTTAATCCTATCCCGTTCTAATCTAAAGTAATGTATATACGCATGAACATCTAATGTTTGTAAATGTTTTGTGAAGGAAGTGAAGGATATCTCCAGAACCAGGATATACCGTATTGGGTTAAGGGTGGATGCAAAGAAGATGGACTAGGAAAGGAATCTACGAGTGGAGTTACCTTGCAGATGGATAAAGGAACAACAACGACGGCTTTTATAGTTAAGGAAGGAATGGTTGTAGCAGTAGATTCGCGAGCTACAGCTGGGTCTTATATTGCTTCGCAAACAGTTAATAAGGTCATTGAGGTAAACAAGTACTTGTTAGGTACAATGGCTGGAGGTGCTGCTGACTGTTACTATTGGGAGCGAATGATGGGAAGGTATGCTCAGAGTTATGAGTTGCATTATGGTGAGAGAATTACTGCGGGTGCGGCTGCTCGGCATTTATCTACTTTAATGTACCAGTATAAAGGGAAGGGGTTATCATTAGGAACAATGGTTTGTGGCTGGGATACTAAAGGGCCTGGATTGTACTATGTGGATAATGAAGCCAACTATGTGAGTGGTAAGTTGTTCTCTGTAGGCAGTGGGTCTTTGTTTGCCTACGGAGTGCTAAATGCTGAGTACCGAGAAGACCTTTCCCGGGAAGAGGCTTTAGAACTAGGCAAGCGAGCGATATTCCATGCAGGACATCGAGATGCTTACTCAGGTGGCGTAGTTAACTTGTACTTTATTGACCAGGAAGGATGGCAAAAGGTCGGATCTTACGACATCTCAGCCCTATACCACGAATACATGGAGCAATAATAAAGTAGTGAGTTGGTGTTAAGATATGTTTATTGTATTAAGATATGTTTATTGTGTTGTATTGTGTTGAGTTGAGATAAGATATGTTTGTTGTGTTGTGTTGTGTAAAGATAAGATATGTTTATTGTATTGTATTGTGCTGAATTAAGATACGTCTGTTGTGTTGTGTTAAGATACGATATGTTAAGATGTGTTGTATTGAGTTAAGATAAGATATGTTACGATATCTTAGCTTGAGATCCTTCCTGTTTTATGTTCTATATTTGGTAGAGGATCTTGTCGCTTGTATCTTATCACCTATACTATATCTCATATGTGCACAACTCTATGCCTCGTCTATACATAAATCTATGCTAAACCCATATAGCTCTAGGCCACAGATAAACCTATGCTGCCGCCTAGTCCATATTCTTTATTGGATCGATACTTGGGCATGCCGAATAGAGCCTGAATGGAGTGTGTGGTTAGGAAGCCTATTGGTATAGAGAAGGGTTGGGTGGTGGTGGTGATAAAGCTGCGGTGGATGGTTTGGGAAATGGGTGGTTGCTGGGTAAAATGGGGATTGGTCACTTATGGGCTTAGTATTGGTTATTAGGAAACAGGATGGTCGGTGAATGGCACTGGGCGAGAGAAAGACTTTAGCAGGCGAGTGGCTTTTTAAAGGTCTGCAGAGGGTGGCTGGGTTCTTGCGGATCTTGCCTTTGCCTTTTGATCTTAAGTTCTTGCTCTTCCTATGGATTGAGTTCTTGGGAAGTCTGGCTTATCGGTCGTGGGTAAGTGGCTGGCGCAAAGAAATAGATCAACAGGCAGAAGAAGCGACAGACAAGACCGACACGACTAAGCATAAAAAGGTAGCAGTCTTGCTAGATGGAACTTCATGTCGAGGGCAAGTGATTCTAGAACGACTAATTACGATGGGATATTTAGTGATTTATCCGGATGGATCTTCAGCTAGTTCGGACGACCGAGTGAGTATTAAGGCTACACTAGATAGAGAAGAGTCAGCAGAAGCATTTATTAAAAAGGTGGCCGTACGTAATCCAAAGGTCGACCTACTAGTGGTCAACCGCCAGCGATACGTACGCTTCTCCAAGAAGTCCAATCCAATTCCGGCCCTAGAGAAGAAGATCATTCCTTCTAAGAAGAAGAAAGGCTTCATTACTAAGCACGGATCGTACCGCGAGTTAGACCGTATTATGCTCGAGAAGGACCCAAACTTACGTCATAATTACTTGCTCAACTTCCTGGTGGTTCGAGGTCTGGCTGAAGCCTTGAAGAGTGGTGAGGGCGTGGTTGTGTTCTGTACTGGACGGGTGTTCAACTTAGTACAAAGCACTGTCGCTCAGGTAACTCTACCCAGTCTCTTCTTTTCCTTCTGTTACAGCCAAATGAGCGTAGTCCTGTTGGGTTTGGGAACCAAGTCAAGGTATAGCTATTTAGATGTGCGCGTGGTAAGTACGGGGGTAGGCCTAGCGGATATCTTTGGTTGGTCTATACTAAGAAACAAGCTGTTTTCATTTTGGGCGACTAATACGTCGGAATATGAAGCAGCCGTAGTAAAGGCTATTATAGCCAAGAAGAGAAAGGAATTAGTGACCTATGCTGATGCTGTGTTTAAGTTGCCTTTTGATAGTAACATTGATGGATACGATCGGGCCAATGATCTTTGGGAGCAGGCAGAAATGATATCATAGACTGACAGTTGCCTAAAGATTGGCAGGTGGCTGCTCTAGCACAGGGTCAACAATACGCCATTGCTCCTCTAGTTCGGGAATGGTTGAGAAGTTCTGGTCCGTCTGTGTTTGGAAGAGGATTTGGGCAAATAGTGATTGATATGCTGTATGCCTTGGGGGTGATCCTTCCAAATAGATACGCACTCTCTTAATCAGTGCCTTTTTATAGAATAAAGAGAGATGGATGTATTCCTTTGGGGTAATAGAAACCTCTAGTTGTCCCTTAAGTTTAGCTGGGGCAAGTCGAGTCTTCTTCTTCGTGTTCTCATAATCATGTTCACCAATGGGTAAATCACAGACATAAAGAACACCGGCTGGACTCAACTCCATAATCACTCCGACAAAATGAGTCTTCATCTTCTTCCCACACTCCAGGACTAAAGGCAAGTTCCAAATCCCTCCAAGATGTGTTTTGGTCTTAATGTACGTTTCTAGTGCCGGGGCTGTAATGCCATGGGCTTGCAACTCGGCCTGGTAGCCCGAATAGACTTTCTTAATGGTTGTTTCCGGTTGTAAAGCCGCAATCTCCTTTAGTACGTCTAGTTTACTGCCCGGTGTTAGAGCTAAAGTCACCACTAGCAGTAAATGGTTCTGAAGTACATCCCGGCACATTCCTGCCCCGTTGAAGTACCCTAACCGTCCCTTTACTCCCGCCACTTCTTTGAAGTATCCGGCAATGCTAGACAAGTACTTCGGCTGAATGATCTCTTGGTAAACTGGATGGCGATGGATTTCTGGCATTTGCAATAGTAGAGTCTTAAACAAGTAATGGTCTACACAAAGTACTTGCTTATTTATATCGGCTACTTGTTCCTTAAGCAAATGGAAAGAGGCTAAAGAGACCCCAAATGGCTTCTCGGCCAAAACAACTATACGGCGCTTACTTTGCTTAACCTGCTCAATAATACCGGGATAGACTTCAGGTGGAGTAGCCATGTACAAATAGATCGGTTCATCTTCCTCCTCTGGCAGTTCAGTTGCTAGTCTAGCTAAGCACTCTTCATATGGCCCGTAAACATACTTTATTGCTAGCACTGTCTCGCGCAAGTACGTTACACTTGGATCTATTCTACGAATAAACTCTTCTGTACTCATTACAGTCCGGGCATAGCCAACAATACGGGGAATACTCACCCCTGAGTTTTTAAGGATATCCCACTGTGGCATCTCTTTAGGAATGATTTCCTGGTCTTCTGCCTTCAGGTACTCCGTGCGATTACGTCGGTCGTGTGGAAATGCTTGTGTCATCGGACTTTGATCGAGTTTAATGGTTGATACTGAGCTGCTTAGGGTTCCTTGGGTCATCTCCAGTTCGGCCTGATTATATTCGGTCTTAGTACATTGACTTAGCTTCTGGCGAAGCATTGTATTGATGGCAGGGAAGATCTTCGTGCGGCAAAGGTCTCCAGTACACCCTAGAATGACTAACATTGTTTTTTTAGCATGCAGCCGGCTAAGATTCCGATTTGGCTGCAAAGCTCACGTAAAGATAAGGATTTACATTCTATTTTAGCCGATTTGAATGCTTTAGAGTCTTATACGGCCATTCAGTCGATCGTACAGACAATTAGATTTACTAGTAAAGTCAACTACCGACTGAAATGTACAATGGTTATCTACTTGCACTTGCAACAAGAAGGATTTCCAGTGGTTTTAGAAGATATGGTTAAGTACAGTGGAGTTAGTAAGTTGGCTTTACTCTCCCTAATTAATAAGAATAGGGATGTTTTGCCGTATACTTTGTGGCCACAGCTAGAGTATGTACTCAATTTACAAAGACGAGTGGCCAAAGCTTTGGAAGTGGCTCAAATTGAAGTAGTTGATTGCCAGGAGAAGATTAAACTACTTTACGACCGAAAATACTTCTATACGCATTCACCTTTACTGGCATGTGTTTATTTATCACTACCCGCTTGTAATCAGTCGGTTAAGACAAGTACTCCAGCTTACGTTGTAGCTATGTGCCGCATGATTGTCAAACAAGCAACTACTTCACTAGCTAGTGTTAAGAAAGAGATTGCGCGTATACTGGAATTCTTAGGAGAAGGTTTAGTCAGTACCCCAGATATATATCAGCACCGCCGAGCCGCCAAAGACAAAAAGATCGCCCAGGCAGTTGCCCTCTACCAAAACCCAGTCCAAGATCCCAAACCCTATGCCACCGATTATGAAAGTCTCCTGATTGAAAACCTCGTCAAGAAAGACTTCGCACCCGCCACCATCGCCAACCTTACCAAAAGCGGCATGGAGTACTATGCTGATTTTATCACCAAATAACCAAACATCATCGTATCAATAAATTAACCCCCAATATCTAATAATCACTCAATCCAACCCAACTCAATCCAACACAACCCCACCTCACCCAACTCAACTCACCTAACCCCACCCAACACAGCTCAACTCAATTCAACACAACCCAACCCCACCCCACCCAANCAATATTAGCCTAGTTTAGGCACAAGTTTATACTCATCAATAATAAAGGAAGTAGTGCCGCGTGAATCAACTGAAAGTCGAGTGGCCGTAGGAACAATCTTCTGTTTAAACAACGGACAGTCCAATGTAAGAGTTTCGTACTCACCACCCTCACCACACATATTAAAGTCTTCTGGCTTAAGACTAGGATACTTATCTATTTGTCCGGCCACAAAATCAGCATACTTAACCAGAACTTGTGATATATCTTGCCCAACCAATCCAACCAAAGGCTCCTCCCCCGCCTTAACCACAATCGAACTAAGCCCAGCCCCAACCATTTCCGTCAACAACTCCTTTTGCTCTCTCTGCCATAAATAAGCCAGCACAACTAAACCCAAGCGCTGACATACATCAGCTACACGGCAGTATTGATACTGCGACTTAATTGCCCCAACTGCCACTCCACTAAACTCGTACTTCTGCTTAAGCGCACTCAATCCAATAAACAGATCTTCAACTTCATCATCTTTTGTAGCCACATACGGCATCGCCCGATTATAAGACATCCCTTGCGTAACTATCGTCTCCAACGGCACTTCTAATGCCTCAGCTATACCCGGCACTACATTATTACCCACATACTGATACATATAAGAATCTTTCTCTTCTCCCGTCTTAAGATTAACCACAGCAACTAAATGATGTCCATCTTTTTTAGATAACATTAGATTGTAAATACTATCTTTACCACCACTAAGTAGAGCTATAAATCGCATCAAAATTTTCGGCCAATGCCTCGTCTCTCTATTAGTGAAGGAAATGACCAAATTAGGAAAGAGTATATCGAATTAATGGCCGAAACTAAAGAAAAGAGAAAATCATCTTCTGAAGGTTCTTCTGGCCTTTATTCAATCTATTGTCGTGCAAATGCTCTATTAGACTCAGTTACGAATGCTCCCGAGCTTAGATTAGATGCGAATGTGGCGGGAGAAGTAGTTGATCTTGAAAGTAGTCGGTTGGCTAAATTATGTGCTGGAGATAGAGTAACTCCAGAAGAGTTCATTTCATTGCTTAAAGACCAGCCAAGTGGTTTGCATACAGATTATATCACTACTATCTTTCGTGGCTGTCGCTTACCAGCTATACTGGTGTTGAAAGAAGAGGAAGAGATTCGGCCGCGCAAAGCACCTAGGAAGCCACTAGAAGCTTTGCCATTAGAAGTACCTAATACAACGGCCAAGCCACCCCAAGACCAAATAGATGCCCCAGATAAGATCAAAAGGATTTATCAGATCTTACAAGAACAACAAAGATTGCCGGTTTTACAGTTGGCAATTGTTCCTAATGACTTTGCTAAAACGATAGAGAATCTCCTTTATTTGTCCTTTGCGGTCAGAATCGAACGGGCCTTTCTTGTTCAAGAAAACAACACTCTCTATGTTACGTGTGACAAAGACCCACAAGCCGTGCAGTCCTCCCATCTTATTCTCACGACCACACAAGAAGAGGTTGAAAAGGCCATTCAAGAGTTTCAAATCACCAGAGCCTTATTAGAGTAGTACTATTTGGTCAATAAATCGTGTATATGTATTGAGTTGTGTCAAGCCGGTCAAGTCTAATAAATGGACTATTATCTTAATCCGATTCTCTATTTTGATTTGACTGGCTTATTCTTTATCACTGCTACTTCAGATCAACTTTGTCTTAACTCCACACGTCTTTCCTCTAACACGACTATACTATATCATAGTACGACATAGCATATCATAGTACGACATAGCACACCAAAACACGACTATACTATATCATAGTACGACTATAGTATATCGCGTTACATTCACTAGACGGCACCACATACCAACACAATACCAACACAATAGCAACCAAATAAAAGTGCTAGCTCTACCTGTGATTATAGGAAATACTCTCGCTCTCAGTATAAAATGAATAAGGATGGGCGCCGAGTGTCTTTTTGGTCTTCTTTGTCTTCTCTGCACACTCAATCTCGCTGCGACTGCGGTTGACTGATAAGTCTAACGATTCTTTTGAATCTTGCCCAAAGATGAACTTCTCTCTTTTCTCCTGCATATTGTCCTCTCACACTTGGGTTATAAACCACGAGACAATCACAAAACACACCTGCTACGCACCAATCAACAACAACTTCAGCGAAGGATCCAATTCCCAAAGGCGGGAAATTTCCCGGCATTATTTCTATATATACGTCAAAATTCCGACTTGGTAATGTTCTATGCCGTTGAAGTTCTAGCTAAAGGTGGTAAATTAGCTGCTGCTTGGATTGCAGCTCACTTTGACCGTAGACTTACTAAAAGTGATCTGCAAAGTGTGAGTATTGCTGAAACTGTTGATGATATCCAAAAAGGCCGTGTGCCTGTTCTGGCCCTGAGAACGTCTAGCCATATTTTGCTGGGACTTTCTAAGATCCTCTTCCGGAAGACCAAAATCCTCTATGAAGAGTGTCATACCATAGCTTCCCATCTCTCTAAGACTGAAGTTTCTAAGTCTGCCACTCCCGTTTACAAAGAAGCCGATCGGGCTAAAATCACACATGAAATTCGGATTGATAATTTCATTGGAGGATTCTATCCTACTACTACCAATCATTCCATTAATGCTAACCATTCGTTTGCTGCCAACCATTCCTTCAGTGATCTTGAGCTGCCCCGGACGTCTCAAGTAGCTAGGGCTTCGCTTGGTTTTACTAATCTAGACTATTCCTTCTCACTCAATGATATTTCTCTGGATACTGCTGTTACTTTCCATCGTGATGAACTGGAATCTGACGTACAAATAATCAACCAGGGCAGCACTTCCCTCAACACACTTAACAATCTTTCCTCTATCTCACAAGGCCCGCCCGCTGATATGCACTCAGCTCAAAATCTACCTGTTGACAATTCAATCCCACCAACTGATCAGGCCAATCTACCCAGTTCTATTGTTGATAATCTCTCCATTTCTAATAACAGTCTCACCACCCACCCTAATCCTAGCACTTTAATTGAAGCCGAAGTCAGCACTCCTCTCAAAAGAAAGCAAGCCACTCCTGAGCTTATCAAGAAACCCAAGCTAGACACTCAAATATCTATTACCAACAATAACCTCACTCTAGCCCAAAACATTGCCAAAGCTTTCCAGCCAACTCAGCCTACCCATCGGTTCGATCTTCCCGTCCCCAAAGAAATCCAAGAGTTCTTCTTCTACCCCGCACAAACTCAAACCCAAGCCTCGTCCCGACTTTCAATTGAAATCCCTCGGCGAACTTCCCTTTCCGCTATTGAACCCATTCCTCACCACCCCCACACTTCCTTTGAGAACTCACTTGATCAGATCAGCTTGCAAGCTATCTCCCCCGAAGACTCTCTTCTCGTCCAGCCCAATACTAACTCCATTCATCTCCAACCCGAGCTTCCTTCCAACCTCTCAGCCCACCCCGAGCCAGCCGATCTCTCTTGCAACAACCTCTCCCATACCACCACCCAGCCCAACCCCAACTTAACTCTTCCCATCACTAGTTTGACCACCACCATATCCGATCCCAACTCCCTCCCCCGAGACAAAGCTGAGGCATTCTTCTCTCTTCTTTTCCAAATCACCACCGGCACTTGCTCCGCTACGCAATCCTCTCCCTACAGCTCAATTATCATCACTCCATCCATGCCCATTTCTGTGGCCTCCTAATCATATTATAATACACACCACATAATCATTAGATCAATAAACAACAATTACTGTATACTCACTTAGATCAACTCGATTAATCAATTAACCAACCCAACCTAATCATAAATGTGAAACGGCCAACTTGAAGCTCACCGAAAGCGAAACAACCGCTATTGAGTTAGTTGTCGTGTTATTAGAAAGGGATGCAACGGGTCAAAGACGTCTATCTTCCCTTTAGATTGATAAGTATTTTCAAGTCATTCGCCAACTCATACAAACTCGAGTATGTCTGTGTATATTTGAAACTAGTAGCTGTTAGATTCACACAATAAAGCATCTTTATTACTTTCTGTTCCAGCCACCTCAATGTCCTAACCCAATCCTAACCCGAAAGTGAAGATTGCCACTTTCTGCGAATGATTTCGGGATTTCACTTTCGGCGAGTTTCAACTTGGGCGCGCAACAATAAATACTGAACCATATCATATTCTCCCCAATCTCTAGAAAGCTGTCCTACAGAATCAACTTACAAATCCATTCGCACACTCTCTTGTTCACTATTATGGCCATCTAAATACTATTTCAACCCAATCTAAAGTCAACTATGTGAAATGTTAAAATATCTTAAACCACTTCCACTTTTCGATCCAGTTGGCTTTTTGTTTTATGTTTAAGATGTATTGCTATTATTAGTTGGCTTAATAAATGGTTAATGAACATTGGCGATAAGGACAAATAGACTTTATTATAGGATATAACGCGACTGCTTAATTTCAACTCAACAGGCTGTCTTTGAGTTAGTACTTGGGTTAGTATTGAGTTAGTATATTTTTGATCTCAATGCCATATCAGATCTGTAAACATCAAACTCAACTGACCTTTGAACCACGAATCTAAACTCTAAACAGGCATTAGGATTTTGAATCTTATCTCCTAACTTATGCAAAAAGCCATGATAATTCCGTATATCATCAGACAGTATGGTGTATTGATTATTAGTCGCACGTCTTAAACGAACAGCATCATCAAAAGTAAACCCAGCACGACGAACCATCCCGGCCAGAGGCTTATTACCACGCCTAATCTTCTCTGTTTCAGTCACCAAGAAAGTCTTCGTTTCACTATCATAGAGATAGTTATAGCCACACATGTAAAGATGAGAATTAAGTGGATGAATATAGTTAATTAAAGGACTGTTAAAGATAAGATCAAGATCATTTTTGTTAGAAATAAGCGTTGGTTTGCATATAAGCAGGTGTTGTCTTGTCTTCTCCGATGCTTGGTTACTACCCTCCTTCAGCACATAGGTTGAGAATACTTCTTCCAGCAGATTAATATCTTCCGAAGAAGAGGAGAGATAGATATATTTGGCAAGGTTTTCTACTAGACTCTCATGATCTGGATGAATGACATACTTTTTGGATTTAGAACCATTGATTGGTCGAGTTAAGGTCATATAAAGCATAAGAAGATCCGGTACATCACAAACAAAGTCCCGAGGGATAGAAAAAGCATTCCAAGTTCCCTCAAACACCGCCTTCAAATAAGATGCTATCTGCTTAACCCGAGGCAAAACTGCCGGCTTAAACCCTAACGTTTCATAGAACCCCGAATCAATAAACTTATCACCACTAGCTGGATGTACAATATAACCTTTGTAATATCTTTCCAGTGTGTCTTGAGCCCAAACAAAGTTACGATCAGCTAGTTCTTTTAAGGTGTATAATCCATTCGTAGATTTCTTAGTTTCAAGTATCGCAGCCGAGCCACGGCATCTTAAGACAAACATGCACAAGCCAATTAGTATCTGTAACCCAATAACGATTATTTTCTTCTGATTAGCCATGTTAGGACAAAAATATTAGCAAATATAATCCAAAATTACCATATTAGGAAATACCAACCCAATACTAACCTAACCACCAAATCAAACATTTTTACTACCTATCAATCATTTTGAAATACCAACTCAACAATAACCAAATCCAAACACTAACTCAACTCAATCCAAACACCAACCCAATCTTATCTTATCTTAATATTAACCCAATACCAACACAATACCAACACAATAAGGAATGCCCATCTTAACTAATACATACTCTATTAAAGACACACCTTGATACAACATAATTGATCATTTATTGACTGTTGATGATGATGAACGCGAAAATGACGTCATACTCAAATTTTAATAATCCGGCTACTACTGAGTTAGTTTGAGTTAGTATTTGATATGATTCAATTTCTCTACTAACCCAACAATAATACTAATACAATCAACAATGAATAAACGATTTAGTGTAAGGAAAGAGTAGTTTTTGTGTAACAACACTTCAGTTAATACCAACTAAGCCGTTAGATGGCAAAAAAAATGCAGCGGAAGAACGAGCCTACTCCAGAGCGTCAAGAATCTCCCAAACGTCTTCTTATTATAACTCAATCTGCTAATAGTCCAAAAACAAAACCACTAGTAGACTTCTTCCTTACTATCAAAAAGACTGCAATCAAGTACATAGACCATACTAGCGAGTGTTTACCAACCATTGATAATACAGCAACAAGCAATGGTAAGTTAGAAGAGACTATGAAGAGACTCAAAGCTTCTTTATTTGTTTACATTACTACTACTAAGAGTCAACAACTTACTCTTATCTTTGGACGTACTTATGAGTACCAACTAACCGATCTAGCCAAGTTTACTCTCACTACTAATCCCAGTACTCTTTCTACCCTTCCCCTTCCTACTTATTCTCTTGCTCTTCTTCTAGTTGCTAATCGAGCCCAAAACCCACGAATTCAAAACCTTCTTTTAGATCTCTATAAAGAAGCTCTACCACCTTCACCTTCTATTTCCATCTGTACTCATGCCATTGCTCTTTCTTTCACCAACGATTCTTTCAGTCTTACTATCTTAAAAATCCAATCCAGTCCATTCTCTCTCCAACCCATCTCCCCAACTCTTAACTTCACCTTCCAAGCCTCCCACCATTCCGCCCCCGAAGTCTTCCAAGAATCCCAACGCACTATCAGACAAGCCCCCAAAAAGATCAAAAACATTGAAAAAGGACCTCTCAATACCATCATCGGCACACTCCATCTAGAAAAGCAAGACCTTTCCGAGCTCAAACTAAGTAAAGGCCGAGCCCTCCGCAAGCACTCCCCCTAACACCATAAGACAAGTTTACAATACTATAGTATTGACTCACTATACTACTTATTTAACTAAATACTCATATTTACTTATCTATATCTTATCTACATCTTATCTAAATTAACATCTTATCTACATCTTATCTATATCTAACCCAACTAAATCAAAATCAAAACCAACTATTTATCTAACCCAATACTTACCATATCTAAACCAACTCAACTGAATACCAAACCAATACCAAACACAATACTAAACCAACTCAACACAATACTAAACCAACTCAATATCTAAATCAAAATCAAAACAAACAATTTATCTAAACCAGTACTTATCCAGTACCTATCCAGTACTTATCCAGTACTAAACTCGCCCCAACCAGTACTAAACTCACCCCACCTCACCCCCACCTCAACTCAACTCAATGAAGAGAGTAGTTTCTTTATTTTTAATTTTTTGTTCCCCCAGCCATGGCCACTACAGGAAGAAGACTAATTATAGATGGAAAAGACCATATAGTAGGAAGACTAGCTGCTTTTGTAGCCAAGTCACTTAGAGAAGGATATGAAGTGATAGTTTTAAGGGCAGAAGGTCTAATCTTCTCTTCACCAATTGACCGAATGATAAAGATATACAAGGATAAGCAAAGGAAGAGGTGCTTAGTTAATCCTAAGAAAGGACCTTTCCACTTTAAAGAACCCTCTAAATGCTTCCGTAGAGTTACTAGGGGTATGCTTAACTATAAACGTACAATGGGTTTAGAAGCCTTTCAACGCTTGAAGGTTTATGATGGGATTCCTTTAGCCTTTGAGAACGTTGAGAAGGTTGTTTGCAGTCATGCTTTAGCTGAGACTCAACTTAATCCAGTGACTAAACGGTGCACATTAGGAGAGATATGTACGCGGATGGGATGGAATAATGGAGAGATTCTGCAGAAGTTTGAGGAGCAGAGACTAGCACGGGCTAAAGTAGTTGCTAAGGAGGAGTCTCAGAAGCAGAAGAAGAAGCAAGAGGTTCTTAATAGTGAGTCTTTCCAGCAGGAGCTCAATGACGTAATTGCCAAGATTGAATAAATCCTCTTGTTCTGATTTAGTTTGGTTTGATTTGATTTGATTTGGTTTTGAATTGATTTGATTTGGTTTGATTTGATTTAGTTTAGTTAATGTTATCTTAATTTGGTTTGTTTTGATTTGGTTAATGTTATCTTATATAAATCCTATCTAAATATTATCTTAATACTATATAAATACTATCTTATCTATTTAGTTAATATTGTCTTAATCTAAATATTATCTAAATGTTATCTAAATACTATCCGTGCCATCCCCTACACATCTTAATGAGATTCTCAACTCATTTCTACTTTTAGACGAGTAAGTACATATAATGTAGATATTTATTCCTTACTACTTTAAACAACTCAATACTAACTCAAGCCAACTCAATTAGAGTATAGATATACGACGAAGATTGAGAAAGGACTTCCTATGACTTCCCAAGACTCTCTATGACTTCCAGGAGATACATGAAGGATTCGCACAGAAGAAGATATCAGAACTAGAAACGGTTCAGAATCGCATACCAACTCAAACTTAACTCAATACTAACTTGCCTCTCGTTGAGTATATTTGACTGAGAGGTCTCTATCCTCCCCTCACAACAACTACCATGTATATCTGTGTTCCATGGTATTGACTCTAAAGAAGAACAAATATGTTTACGGCTCACCCATTCCAAAAGCATCAACTTTTGGGCTCAATAGAGTCTAGTTCTGCTTTTGGTATAGATAGTGCAGGAGATTGAGATAGGCAAGTCTTCCATTTTAGTGCTTCATAATTAAGTCGCTTCTAATTAATCCATTGGATATATCAATTTTCATTTAGATAAAGTTGCTTTATTTTTGAATATTATGGCTTATCTTAAAGTAGTTAGAGATGCGAATGCAATTAAGCTGTTTCGGTGCAAAACGATCAAGTGCTCTTTGTTAATTATGTTGTGTTCTTTGTTAGTAGTGTTAGGTAGTGTTAGGCAGCTTTGTAGTAATGATGATAGCAGTGACGGTAATAGAGATGATGATAGCATCGACGGTAATAGTAATGATGATAGCAGTGACAGTAATAGTGATGAAGTTGTTACGGAGGAGATAGCTTACATAGACGAAGGCGGTTGGTGTAAATCAACTATCATGACTAATCGTTTACTTGCATTTGGATTTAGGCTTAGCTCTGAGAACCAGGTCGTACAAATTAAGCCCTACACTCCAGAAGAAACAGTGCCAGCACTATCAGTTCCGGATAATATTACAAATCCCAGTTTGATGAACTCTACAGAAAAGACTACCAGTTACATAGTAAAATGCCCCGAATCAAAGCTAACAGTAATAAGCCCCGAGGTTAATGACGTACACCAATTGTGTCTAAATTTGGCTAAGTTGAAAGATGTTGCTGTTATTCGACTCACCAAGGTACAGTTTAAATGTAAAGCAAACTTCGCAAGTAGTTATACGGCCTTATTACACGTTATATCTCGAATTGTCAACATGCTAGAGTGTGAGAGTCTGGAATTAAAGTTATTAGAATCTGAGACAATAAGCCATTATACTTCGCCTGGTTTAGAGTCGAGTTTGGAAGAAATAAGAAAGGCAAACCGGTATGTTGGCTCTAACTCAAAATACAGTCTCATAATTGATGACGACGACTTTTATCAATACCTTCCGAATCTTAAGGATTTAGGTATTCCCCTTCTACGCCTAATTTCCAATCTTACTCTGTGGTATGCAGAAGTTACTCTTGACCACTACTTGCCATGGTTGCCCTTAGCAAACAACTACACCCTCTGTTTGCGCGAGCTCGGTAGCACTAACCATATTGACTTCGTTGCCCTCCACAATCAAAATATCAAATGCCGAAAGATTATTGTTCTTAATATGCTTGCCAATCTAACTCTAGTTGGCCTTGAAAATGCTACTGCAGATATCCATCCCAAAATAACCCTAGAGCTGTATTGGCGTAACCTTCGATATTTGTGCTATTATAATGAGTCTAAAATTAGTGTCTACTCTATTATAGCTATGGCTTCAGACCCGCTAGATGATGTAGTGGCGTCTATGCTTCTTCAAGTAGACTCTTCTCCTACTTGCCGGGTCATTACCACCAAACTAACTACCCAAGCCCCGGGCGCGAAACATTGTTGTGTTGAAGACAAAGGTACCCAATACTGTAGAAAACGTGCCTGTGCTAAGGAGGGTATTTCGTTTAAAAGATACACGGTTGAGTATATAAGTGGATGTGGTGGCCTGTTAGATACGTTAAAGGTGCTAAAATATGATCTACATGCTCTGTATAACACGTCGATAGAAGATCTGAAATCGAAAGGAGTCAAATGTCCTGGTAAAGTTCGCCGGGGTAAAATGTGGAAGCTTCAAGAACCAGTCAATCTCCAGCTCAAGATTGTCGAACTAATGTACCAATCGCGCAGTTATGGCCAGAAGAAGAAACCCGCTCCATTTTGCCAGAATATACATTACACAACCATTAACATTAGTGGACCGCCAATATCAGAGCATAGGATTGTTGTGTCTTGCCAGGATCTTTTAGATCGGTTTGTTAACATCACCGCCAGCAAACTTAAAATAGCGAATGTCTATTCTGAATATGCAGACATGATCGAATGTAGCCTATCTAACAAAGGAGAAAATAACCAAGCCTCCAAAAGACCCCGACGCCACCTTAATCTTGAGACTTTGGTACTCGATAATGTCGACAACCAAATTATCTCCAAACTATTGAACGAATACACCTTTGTTAGTCCCGTGGAAGTGCATATTCTGAACCAACGCTACCCGAACCTTGAGATTGCCTGGATTCTCTCCCATCCTATAGGCCAAAAGATCACTAAACTTGTGCTTAATGGCTTTGTTGACTTAAATGACGTGAAGTATTACGAGGAGTATAAGAAAGAAGATAGGCTCGCGGAACTCCCACTGTTCAAGTACATAGAAACAATGAAAGCCAAAGACAAAAGCGATCCTGCCACTGGTCTTGGTCTTAATAGACTGATTCTGCAACTGGAAGGTGTCAATTGCAGTAAGTATACTGAAGTCTTAGCCGAGTTTGAGAAGCTCGGTATTCGATGCCAAGTTGTTCCTTTTGCGGCCTACGTCAATCGTCCCATAGATAAGTACAAAGAGTATCTAATGGCAGCCACTCAATATTCGTTGGAAAATAGCGAGTTCGAGATTAAACAGCAGCTACAACTCTACGACATTAATCTAAAGGATTTAGAAGCAGATCTTATTGATCGCTACGAGAAAGCAACACTAGAAGCAAATTCAAATCACTCCCAAAAACCCCCTATCCAGAAGACTCCCGTTAATGACCTATCGTTATATTTCTGTGAGGATCAATTCTTAACTGAGAAAGATTTCGTGAATATTCTTAGGTGGATTGCCTGCCAATTTACAGATGTGAAGACATTGATTCTATACAATCTGAAGACTTCAGATGATGAGCAAAATATCATATCCTCATGTAACTACTTCACTGCCGGCCTAGATACGCTTGAGTTTATTGAAATAAGAGATGGAAAACAAGACATTCAATTGAAAACGCACACAACGCACAATATCAGATTGGCCGAGTTTACTACCTATAAGCCAGGTATACTTGTAATGGAACATACAATGCTCCCTCGCATTCTTGGTCAGAATCTCGCAGAGATGAATCCCGAGTCATGTTTGTACAAGTT